GAGAGAGAGAGAGAGAGAGAGAGAGAGAGACACACACACACACACATACACACAAATTGCGAAGAAAGTTGTTGTATCGTATGACCGACAAAAAAAAATAACGTCATTGTCATTTAAAAGCGCCAAATTCACGTTTTGAAGTTTTCACAAATGTTAAAAAAGAAGAGAGCGTCCCCATCAGAACCACGATCTGGGCACTCGTTAGTTTTCCATTAAAATCTAGGAAGGAAAGATTGTAAGAGAAGAAACCTGTGTTGTAAGGGGCAGAAGATATTCGGAGACGTCTTCGGCGAGCACCCAGGACTACTCGGAGACGTACTCCCGCACACAGACACACTGCTTTGGGGGTCAAACCTGCGTATCGTTTGCTGCAGATTACACATACAACCACTAAAACTGTCGCAAATCAATCATTTTCAAGAAAATTTCAAACACAACTGCAAAATATCAAATTATAGGTTAAAACAGGGGGCATGGCAACCCATCCCCCCCACCCACCCGATTTTTTTACTTGGTCCAGAGGCACAAATCATTTTGATTGGTCTATCTCCGTCGGAGACGTTTCCGGATAGATACGGTGGTTGTAAGGTGTTCCCTGATGACCATATTGGGAGGCGGGCTGTGTCCAGACCCCGCCAGACTTTGACATGGGCGGTGGTGAAAGTAAGAAAGACGGAACTACGTGAGCACGTCTTTAGACATACCGGCCTACAGTCAGTGGACGTGTGCGGGTGTAACGCGCCTGTCTCAACAGCTTTTGTTTATTCAAGAGGCGAGACCTCCGAATTTAACGTCTGTTTCACATAGGGTCCAGCCAAAAGGGTTGAGAACCTTGAAAGCCACCCCCCCCAAAAAAAAAAAACCGAAAAAACCCACCCGAGACCGAGATTATGAACATCCAGTTTGGGATTCGAACCACTGTCACCTGCCCAATAATCCAGCTCGACACCCACTGAGGTAACGGAGCGCCCAATCCCAGCACGTCAGATGACAATTGCTCTAGATCTATCCCCACAATAAATTGTTGTATCCCCACTTCACACAGGTGGAAACAATCATATCTAGGTTCGTGATCTCATCTCCGATAGCTTCTAAACAAAGGAAATGTCCTTCGACCTCAACTCTGATTCATTTTTATTTTGAAAATATTATTACAGTCCGAAACTGAAGCTTTCAAACGCTCGATCTGCCTTAGATTACTCATGTAAACCGATAGATCATAGATGTATTCGTCACTCTTGTTGGAAAGCATCGGTTTCGGACAATGAGTTCAAACAACAAATTATGAATCAGAGAGTAAGGCCAAGGACGCTGTAAAACGATACAGCTTTTACCTGAGCGGTGACGTTGGCCGCCTTTATTGAAGGGAACTGCCCCGACTACGACTGACCTGTTTATTGTGGGGGAAAGAAATGTGATGCATCGTGGTGAAATCAGGCGCTGGTCAAAATAATGAAAGGGAAGAAAACGACATTTTTCTTTCCTGTTTGGTAATTTTTATGGAATTTTTATTTTTTGGCTCAGCACCTTTTACGTCCATTTAAAAACAGATTGCTGTGTAGTTATTTTATTGAACATTGTTGATTAAAGGCGCGATTACGTCAATTAAGTTTCCGGTGACTCTCAAGCTTTACAAGTCGTCAAACT